TCTTTCCCTTTCCTGTTGTTTCTGCTGTTATGCTGCTGTGTGCCACTAATTAGCACCTTCCTCGGGTACAACATGAACGTGGCCTCTTCTGATAAAGGAGCCTCTGATGATCAAATTTCACAACTTCCAAGTTGGAGACACAGAGAAGCCCGGAGCAAGTTAGAGCTTGGCAATGACTCTGAAGGCAGTGAAAAGATGATCAATGAAGACCAAGTAAGTAGCACAATCAATACACATAAGAGTTTGTCTAGATAAATTTCTCCACAAGTATGTTTAGGAGAAAAAAATGAAATAATTTATTTCATAAAAAAAATTAACTTATGCATAAACTAAAAATAAGTTTTAAGAGAAGTTAATATGAGAGTACTTCTACAAATTAGTTCATGTATAAGCTAATTTTAACTTATAAAAAAATTTATTACTTACAGAGAAGTTTATCTAAACCGGGACTCTAAATCCATATGAGACACAGACAAGACAAGTGTATTTATTACCCTTGATTTGATATACAGCTAGCTAGCCACTTAACAGCTAGTACATGTAATTGGGCTTTTTTGTGTGTCAATTGGTTGAGTAGCATAAAATTTTTACCTCAATTTGGGTATATGGTTATATGTTCCATTCACTTTAAGATTTGTCTTATTTCCATTTCTATTGAATTGATATATTTGTTGTGTTCTGATGGGCTTACAGGAATGCTGTATCTGCTTAGCCAAGTACAAGGACAAAGAGGAAGTTAGACAGTTGCCATGTTCCCATACGTTCCACCTAAAATGTGTGGATCAATGGCTAAAAATTACATCCTGCTGCCCTCTTTGCAAACAAGGATTGGAAAGGTAGAAATAGCTGAAACAACAGTCAAGAGGATTTGTCTTATTTGGTCACATGTATACTCTTGATAGTATTACCCTTTTTTCCCTTAAATTTTGGTTTAATATACTTTACATGGGTTACTTGAGTGAGTTTGTATATGTACAGAATAGCTCACCAGTGACCAAAACTATACTTGGTTGTAAGTAATGGATCTGATAACCTTTCAAATTAATGGATTCCCTATATGCATCATTTTTCTTTTATTGTCATCTGAATATTGTGAGATTAGCATCTCTGTATGGAAAAATTACAGCACATAATATATTCTTTTCTTAATTCTTAAACAATAAAATGTCCAATCTTTAGGTCTCTCGTCCCTCTAAATTAATTACCAAAAAAAATTTACATTCTTTGGTATACTGTTGTACACCTGCTACTTTTCGACTTTCTGCCAGAATATTTCAACAGCCATTGCTGTGGAACTGGTAATTTTAATTTGAAGAGAACTAGATTAATATTGTGTGCTTACATGGTGTGATCATGTGATGGACTATGTTGTGAAAACGGTCCGTCAAATCCGTAAACCGCTGAGCTGGTCACATGATTGATTCAAATGAACCACAAAATGGTCACTTTTTTAATATTATTTTATATATTACTTAATTTTTATTTTTATTATTTTATTAATACCGGTTCGATTTCGATTTAATAAATATTTTTCAAAATATTTTTATATATAAATTTGAAAGAGATCTTTCAAATTTTGAGTAATTAAACTATTGAACTAATATCTTGATAAATTTAATAATTAATCTATTTTTAAAAATATTGTAATGATAATGAGGTTCATTTAGTTGAATTGGGATGATCCAATGAATATATGATCATATACTATCTTTTGCATACCTAAAATTAGAATTTGTAACAAAATAAAAACAACTAATTAAATTTGTCCAAATAATGTTATTCTTAGCCTAAAATTGCCAAACCAGCCAAAAACAAGGCACAATAATGACAGGCAACATGAAGGCATCATTGCAGTAAAATTAGCTTAAAACTGCCAACGTGACAACAAAGAACCAAAATGGTGAAAAACGAAAAACATTCCAAAGAAGCACAAAATCACAAACTGTGAAATTACTACAAATTTGTCAGAGTTGGCAATTTGGTGAAATTAGCAATGAATCCTATCAGGGAAAGGACATGTCATAGTATAATGTCCAACTAGGCTGGCTGAGAAGAAAAATGCCAGCAGAGTATTTGAGAACTTATAGCCATGAATTGCTGATTGAATAAATACAACATATTTGAAACAGAAAAACGGATTTGGTTACCAAGATTTGTGCTGAATCTTCATTGAGGAAGCATAAAATCAGACCCTCCTCTACTTTTTTGCAGAGAATCCAAAGCCACTTGGGAAGCAAGCAATTCAACAGCGGAAGAACATCATATTTTGTATACCCTTCTCAACTACCTAGGTATAAATCACTCATGCCTTCATCCTTCAATCAACATTGTCTTCACTGAATTCTTTTGCTTTCCACACCATTAACAAAATGTTTCCTAGAGGAAGACATAATTTAATGCTATCTCATACACATGTCTGTAATTTGTGGTTTCTTGCATGATAAGCAATTCATTATTGTATACACATCCAAAGAAAAACATAACGGAACAAGGGCTCACGAGGTAACTCTCTTATAGCATCATGAATAAACACATCTGAAACGTGAAACCAAACACACTATTATTATTATCTGATCCTCCATGCATGTCCTTAACACAAGACGTAGGACATTATTAGCAGTTAAAACATTTAAGAATCTAGCACATCAAGTTGTTATGCAAATGAATTCTTTTTAATTTGTTTGGTAGTTGATTTGCTTATAAGTTAAGAGCATTTTGTTGGTCAATTCATAGTTGAATAAGCATGGACAGGAAAGAGATGGAGAACAATGCAGAGAAAAAGCCCCCTTGCATGAAAGTAATAAAGCTGAAGAATGGTAGACAAATGACAATCCAGGGTTTGAATATGGATGAAATCAAGAAGCAAAGAAAGATGGTGTGTCTGAGACAGCAACAACTCAATCTTCATTGAAGAAGAGGAATTGTCTATGCTCACCAACCACACATGTTGGCTCCTTTAGGTGCCGCCACCACCGTTGTGATGGAAATGGAATGCGCCATGCTGCCTCTATTGGCTCCAATCTCTCTGAAGCGAGCTCTGATCAATCTCAATAGCCTTCTCTGGTTTCTTATAATGCTCTCATGTGCTTGGATATGTTGTTGAAAATTTCTTAAATTGTAAATTTTCGACATATTCGGCTAAAGTTGATGTTTTATCTTATGCATATTTCTGAACTAAAATTTTAGAAAATAACATCAACACCATCATATAAGACACACGATACTGTTTGTATGCAAGTTTTATTCTTACTAATCTGCTGTGAATGATTTGTAATACACTTTTTCTTTAATGAGTTTATAATGTAATTACTAATTATCTTGTGTATTTATTTTTCGGTTGCTCAGTTATATGTCATTTTCAAAGGACAATTTGTTTTTTTAGTTAAATTTAATTAATTTTAATATTTATATAAGAATAAATTAAAAAAACTATCTTAAATACAATAATCTAAGTTTAGTTTTGATCATTATATTTTTATCATTTTTGGTTCGCAGTTTAGTTTTATCACATTTTTTTTATTCACGATACTTTGTAATAAAAATATACTATACTAATTAAAAAAACTAGAGTGTTCATTTTTTTCATGATCATATAAAAATAAATTAAAAAATTATGCTAATTATTATGCTTCTTTTTTATTATTTTTTGTTCACATTTTAGTTTGATTTTATATTTTTAAGACTAAAATCACGTTTTCAATTTAAGGGACACACTAAATTAAAATTTTTATAAATTAAATCAACTAAAAACACAATTTTTAATTTAAAAAAAATTATCCCAAAAAAACCATAATTATCTCAAATTTAAAGACTAAAAGCATAATTAAACTTAATAAATATAACAATGTAACTTATCAGAATAAAAAATACAGAAATAATACATAGTTGATTAAAAATACAAAAATATTTTTATATTATATGAAACTTTTCATAAATTAACAATATATTCATTAAGTCAAAGATAATTAAAAGAAGAAATGATATTTTAGCTTAAAAGTAAAAAACTGCATTTTGCCTAATCAATAATTCACGATTGCAGGGGAAAAAAACACAATTTAATTATCCAAAAAAGTGCCACAAAAATTTACCATGATAAACTAAATACACTAGTCCAAGAAACATCACCTAACTCGCCAACTTCCAAAACTCCCAAAATTCAAAAACAAAAGGCAATGTAAAACATCGTTTCTAAAAGACAATCATATCATCAGATTTAATCAACTTCTTCCATCTTGCTACCCTCAGCATCGGCGTCCACATCCTCCAGAGGAGGCATGTCAGCATCTGCCTCACCAGCATCCTCATCGATGCTCAGCCCAAGCTTCAGCATCCTGTGAATTCTGTTGCCGAAAGTGTTGGGATCATCAAGGCTGAACCCAGAAGTAAGAAGGGCAGTTTCAAAGAGCAAGAGAACAAGATCCTTCACAGATTTGTCATTCTTGTCAGCATCAGCACGCTTCCTCAGCTCCTCCATGATGGGATTCTCAGGGTTGATCTCCATCGTCTTCTTGCTCGACATATAACCAGCCATGCTGCTGTCCCTCAATGCCTGTGCTTTCATGATCCTTTCCATGTTCGCTGTCCATCCATATTCACCAGTCACCAGACAGCAAGGAGAATCCACAACACGGTCAGACACCACAACCTTCTCCACCCTGTCACCCAACACATCCTTGATCACCTTGCATAGACCATCAAATTTCTCCTTCAATTCTTCCTTCTTTTTCTTTTCATCTTCACTCTCGTCGAGTTTCAGGCCTTCCTTAGTAGCAGACACCAACTTCTTTCCCTCAAATTCCTTGAGCTGGCCGACAGCATATTCATCAATGGCATCAACCATGTAGAGCACCTCGTACCCCTTTTTCTTGAGCTTTTCCAGGAAAGGAGAATTCTCAACAGCTTTCTTGCTTTCACCAGTAATGAAGTATATGTCATTCTGTCCTTCCTTCATCCTGGTAACATAGTCCTTCAGGCTGGTCAACTCATCACCACTCTTGGTGGAGTGATACCTGAGCAATTCAGCTAGTTTTGACTTGTTCTGAGAATCCTCATGAATACCCAATTTCAGGTTCTTAGAGAAGGCTTCATAGAACTTGTTATAATCCTCCTTGTTCTCGGCAATTTCAAAGAACATCTCAATGCATTTCTTGACCAAGTTCTTCCTGATGACTTTCAGGATCTTGTTCTGCTGCAGCATTTCTCTAGAAATGTTGAGAGGAAGATCCTCAGAATCCACAATACCCTTAACAAAGCTAAGATATTCTGGAATCAACTCCTCACAGTTGTCCATGATGAAAACACGGCGGACATACAGTTTGATGTTGTTAGGCTTCTTCCTTGTGTCAAAGAGATCAAAAGGTGCCCTCTTGGGAATAAAGAGGATAGCCTTAAACTCCAGCTGACCCTCAACAGAAAAGTGCTTAACAGCCAAATGCTCTTCCCAATCATTGGTAAGACTCTTATAAAAAGCAGCATATTCTTCTTTTGTAATCTCTTCAGGTTTCCTCATCCAGATAGGCTTCTGCTTGTTCACCAATGACCATTCATGAGATACCTCCTTAATCTTCTTCTTTTTCTTCTCCTCCTTTTCCTTTTCTTCGTCCACATCTTCAACTTTACCCTCCTCTTCCTTCTTCTCTTCCTCATCCTCATCGTCAGAAATCTCCTTTTCTGTAGTCTTCTCAATCCAAAGAGAAATTGGATAGCTAATGAACTCAGAATGCTTCTTAATCAAGTCCTTCAGACGGCGTTCCTCAAGATACTCAAGTTGATCTTCCTTGAGAAACAAAGTTATCTTCGTTCCCCTACCAAGATTCTCACCAGATGTATCCCTTGTCACACTGAATGACCCACCAGCTTGGGACTCCCAGACATACTGCTCATCATCATTGTGCTTTGTGGTGACAATGACCTTCTCAGCTACAAGATAAGCTGAGTAGAAACCAACACCAAACTGTCCAATCATGCTCACATCAGCACCAGCAGCCAGGGCTTCCATGAATTCCTTGGTTCCAGACCTTGCAATAGTACCCAGGTTGTTCACCAAATCTGGAACATAAAAGAACACAAAGCATTAGAAATA